TCTATTGACAATGCACTGTAGAAAACAGTCCAATACAATTCTTAAGAGTCTCCTCTGGCAACCAGACTGTCTCTTTCTTTGCTCATCCAAAGTGTATCTACACCTGAGAAAACTTTAAAAGGTATTTGTGGGAGTGCCTGAGTGGCTCAGTTGGTTAAGCATTCCCCTTAGGCTCAGGGGCTGATCTCAGGGTCCTGGGATAAGGGTTCTGTGATCGAGTCTTATGTCAGGCTTCCTGCTCAGTGAAGAGTCTGCTTCTCCCTCTGCCCCCCCTCCCCACTGCTTGTACATGCACTTTCTCTCTCTCTCTCAAATAAATAAATAAATAAAATCTTTAAATAATAATAATAATAATAATAATAAAAGGTATTTGTGTTTGAGAAAATAGAAACATCATTCAGGCAGCCCGGGTGGCTCAGAGGTTTTGCACCACCTTCAGCCCCGGGTGTGATCCTGGAGACCCGGAATCGAGTCCTACATCGGGCTCCCTGCATGGAGCCTGCTTCTCCCTCTGCCTGCGTCTCTGCCTCTCTCTCTCTCTCTCTCTCTCTCTCTCTCTCTGTCTCTCATGAATAAATAAATAAAATCTTAAAAAGAAAGAAAGAAAGAAAGAAAGAAAGAAAGAAAGAAAGAAAGAAAGAAACATCATTCCTGAGCATGCTTTTGTTTGTTTTCTTTGTTTTTGTTTTTGTTTTGTTTTTGTTTTTGTTTTTTTTAGTTGTCAAATGATCCTTTATTGAAATATTTTCTGTTGAGGTTCTTAAATAGCTGGGCATTCCACTGTTGATATCATCTACGATATCATGAGGATGGTGGCCATCAACATTGCAGCCCACTAACTGGGATGTTCCCAGGTTCTCTTCAGTGGATCCAGAGAGCTCTCTAGCTATAAAGACTGCTACCACATTTGTCAGGCAATGTTGACAATCTCATCGAAAGTGAGACTTCCACTGTGCTTGATGGTTTTTTGTTTCTCTCTGTCTCTGACTGCTTCCTGGCTCCTTTGATGATAGGGCAGAGGCAGAAGGTACCACTCTGTCTGAGTCTGTCTATTCCAAATGGTCAGAATCACTGTCATTTTCAGACCCTTCTAGTCAATGTCATCACCATCCTTTTTGGGAGACAGACACAGGGTCCAGTCTTTGGGGCTAGGGCAGACATGGCACTGACTTCCCAGCTCATCACTTCAGGTCAGTGACTCTGATCTTGTTGGAGTGGAGTTTAGGCGACATGTCAAAGGCAGTTGACAGATCAACTCAGAATACAGGATGACCAAGAAAGCTGCACCATGACCGCCTCTGAGCCAGAAGTGAGAAGAGCCGCCTCCAGCCATCTTTATCACTGCACCCCTGAAAAGTCCTGGTTTTTATGCCAGCTGATTTTATTGCTTATTATTATTCAGAATGCTTATGTGCCACAGGAAAGAAAACATTTAGCAAAATACTTTTTTTTTTTTTTTACAGTGAAGATCTCTATTTTGAGGCTCAAGCAAAAAATAATTCTGGTCACTTGAGTGACAATGTAAGTGATCTTCAATCATGCACTCCCACAGGTTTATTGAGTCAAAGATTATCTGACTATATCTTTTAAAAATATAATTCTAATGTAGAAAAAAGATCCTAGCATTTGGACACAACTCGTCTTGAACCCTACCTTTAGACGTACGAGCTCTGTAATCTTGAGTAAGATAATTATTTTTTCTGAGTCTGCTACCTCATCTGCAAAATGGAGTTAATTCCTATTTAAGATGTTGTTTTGAAGATTAAATTATCTCCACAAATATTTATTGAACACCTCTTATGTGCCAGGCTCTTTTCTACAAATGTCACAGTGAACAAAACTTAGGACTACTGTTCTTGTGCTACAGGTGATCTTGAATGAACTTCAATATTTCCTTCCGGGATCTTAAGTCATTCAAGCAGAGTATTGCCCAGGAGTGGATTAGAAGTGGATTTCTTGTACCTGTAATTCTAAAATAATTATTACTCTCACTGCTACAGATTTTAGGTTATAATTGAGCTGCTAAAGATTACATACAGATTTAGCAGGACCATTTATAGATTTTTGGCATTTTCTTAGTTTATAAAACCTTAGCTACCTGCAGATCAATGTTATATTTGCTATAAATATTTTACACTATTTTTACTTTTATCAATATATACTGTTTAACAGTAAACATCATTTGCCTTACACATTTTTAAAAAGGGAGATATACATTCTTTAATGCCTAAAAATTATGAATGATACATTGTTATCCTGAGATTTGCCACTGCCCAACTGCCACAGGCACAGCTAACCTCAGAAAGACCTTTTGTCATTGATTATGTCATTGATAGAACATGTAGCTCCTTTTTAGTGGTGATGATGCCATTAATGAAGTGATCTAGAAAGATCTTCATTTTTCAAAGAGATTTTCTGTCTGGCATCACCAAAGTATATCCTAACCCTTCCAGCTATGGTATCTGATAATCAGTAAGTAGGCTAAGTAAAATAATGATAAGTGAATAACTAAGATTATTCAAATTAGTTATTTGAATTTATATGACTTTATAGAAAAGTGGATGATTATCTATTCAGTTGGGAACAATGGATAAAGAAGTAGAAATGTAAACACTTTTTAACATTAACAAGTCAAAAATGTATCATTGTTGTGTTTTTTTTTTTAAAGATTTTATTTTTGTATGCATGAGAGACATAGAGAGAGAGAGGCAGAGACACAGGCAGAGGGAGAAGCAGGCTCCATGCGGAGAGTGTCTCCAAGATGTGAGACTCGATTCCAGGTCTCCAAGATCCCACTCTGGGCTGAAGGCGGTGCTTAACCGCTGAGCCACCAGGGCTGCCCTCATTGTTGTTTTATAACCCACACAGGCCATCAGAGTCAGGACTATCTTCAGTGTAAATGTCTGATTTGCAAGGATTTTTTTTTCCCCTGTGTGAGATTTGACAAGAGTTGGCCTTATCATTAGCTATACATTTGAATTTTATACATGAATGCACCGTTGCAAAACTAGTGTTGGCATCTCAAATCGTTGGTGAAACTCCAGGCCAATGTCATCTGAGGTGACTAGATTACAGTGAAAAAAAAAAAACAATAAAATAGATTTTTAAAATACGTACTGTCTCTGTATCAACACACATGTACATTTTTCATGGTTCCCTTCAGAGCTAATTATACTGTTTTAAAACCACAATAGAGAAGCAAAGGATAAGGAAATATAAAGCTACCCAACTGTGGAATCACCCACCTGACATTCTAGGAATACCATGCTCTAATTACTAATATATTGGCAGTCAGCATAGTGATTTAAAGTAATGAACACTTAAAGCAAAGAATTTCCACTATCTTAGTATTTCTTTAAAAATCCTGCATTTTTTTCTATAAATATAAACATGTTGCATCAAAGATGTTCATTTTAATATTGCCACCATGTCTTTTCCTGCCCAGGCCCACCTGCCACTTGGTACCATGATACTTATTCGAGTTTGAAAATTATAACATTCAATTTATTGCATTTCCCTTGAACATGCAAACAATACTGTGAGAGCAGAGCAAAGATTCTTTCATGGCCATTAGGGAGGGACTAAGTAGAACTCAGACATACTTGTGGTTCAGTTCTCAGTTATGCCATCCTCTCTCTTGAGAAACTTCAATGTTGGAAGGTAAATCTATATCCTAACCCAGTTTCACCTAAGAAGATCTTTGTCCTTTAGATCTGTCCATTGAATTTCCACACCAAGATGAGCTGACTTTCCTTTCTTCTTATAAAGTTTCATCCCCATCTTGGCCAACTGAACTGAACATGAGAGTGGCCCCTGGGTCCAAAAAACAAATGGGAAGCTCCCATCAAGTCTCTTAGCAATCTGTCTTCAAACATCATATCTAAATCCATGCTCTGCTGGTACAAACCAGTACATCCCTTCTGGAAGCTAATCTGGCATGATTTCCTAACCTGCTGCTGATACACGCATAATTTAGCATTATGCCTTTAACTATAAGAAAGTCATTTAACATTCACACAAAGAATTCTATAAAAGATTTTCATCAGGACATTTTTCATAAATGAAAAATTCAAAATCATTTACTACTTAATGTCCAAAAAACAGGAACTGGTCAAATAAATTTTGGTATATCCAGTATATCCATAAAATGGAATTTCAAGCAACTATGGTCAAGGTTAATATCTTAGAAGAATTTCTAAAATGGCATATCAAAAATTCTCATGTTGGGGTGCCTGGGTGGCTCAGTTGGTTAAGCATATGACTCTTGGGGACTCCTGGATGGCCCAGCAGTTGAAGGTCTGCCTTCAGCTCAGGGCATGATCTGGGAGTTCCAGGATCGAGTCCCACATCAGGCTCCCTGCATGGAGCCTGCTCTTCCTTCTGTCTATGTCTCTGGCTCTCTCTTTCTGTGTCTCTCATAAATAAATAAATAAAATCTTTAAAAAAACATATGACTCTTGATTTTGGCGCAGGTCATGATCTCAGGGTTGTGAGATCTAGCCCCTAGTCGGCCTCACATGCAGGGGGTAGAGCCTATTAAGATTCTCTCTCTCCCTCTCCCTTTGCCCACTCCCCAAAAATTTCTCATGCTACAGTCCCAAAACAAAACCGTGCACAGTATGATCCTAACTATGTGTAAATAATACAAAAAGGAGGGGGGAAAAGACATCTACCAAAACATTAACAGTGGTTATTTTTATTCTTTTCTTATGTTCCAATTTTTTTCCTATACATCCTCCAATATTATTTAAATTTACTGTAACAGTCATAAATACAATTAAATTTTAAAAATTCAGATACAGAAGGAAAATACCCATAGAGCGATCAATGCACCACATGTTTTCCTATCCATCCTACCTCTCAGGCAAGCCATATACAGCTACTCTCTGCTATGGCCCTTTTGCTAGGAATTTGCACTATCCTTTCTCCTACTGGAGACAAAACAAGTGTTGAGGGGCGATGATAAGAATCTGTGTCACCTGCTCTCTGTTCTTTTTCAGCACACAACAGTTTTGCCCTTTATATTAATCGAGATGAGGACATCACACCACGCGTATCCCAGCAGGAGCAGCGGACTCGCCGCCATATGTACCTTCTCTGTTGGCTATATATTATGGTAAGGACAGTGCCTGCTGGGCTTTCGTATTGTATTAGATTTTGCACTGCTAAATTTGGGCACATATTTCATTATGGATATAATCACTAACAGATTCACACTGCGTGCCTCATTTGGTCCAGGACCTGGGCTTTGTCTCATTTCCCCAGATGCTTATATTTTTAGAAAGTATATGCCAAACCTCACACAACAGGAATTTGTTGAACAATCCCATGTAAGCAATGGTTCTTCCAAGGCTACATTTTTCAACTCTTTTTCAAACTAAATGTTTTTCTTGGACAGTAGTTTTATTGCTTAAGGGCTTTTTGCTTGGGATTTTTTTGTTGTTGCTATTGTTGATGAACAAATGCAAATGAGGACAGAAGAAATGGCCTCTTGAGAGGAGTGACCTTAAACTTCACAGGAAACAAGTGAAAATGGACGTTCTACTGAATCAGTTTGAAATCTATCTTACAATTAGTCATTACACAGAGCAGGGATTTAAGTGTTTTATTTTTTTTTAATTGGAATAAGTAAGTCACAAGAAATCTCCACTTGGTCTTTTGGGCATGAATAAGTCCCAAGTAGGTGATGCCACATTCATCTGATAACAGCACAGTTGCCTGTTGAGTTTACTTCACATTAGTTTCAGTTCTTACCATGTTTTAATATTTCAAAATTATTTAAGACAGAGAATTTCTTACTTCTCTTTAGAATTCCAAGTCCTCTTTGATGTATTAGTACACACAAAAGAGGTCCTCCCGCCAGCATTTCTGACTCTTGGGACTCTCTTGTCCTGAGTTCTGGGTCGCCATCCCTTCCTTTAAACCTGAAGGACTGAATCATGTTCTTCTAAACATCCCAGAATGGTACTTAATCCCCCCAAAATCCCAGAGGTCTTTGGGAGTCCCAGGTTCCATGGACCGTTTTTGCTTTAGCCAGCCCAGAAATACAAAATAAAGGTCAGGATGGTACTTCACATACTTTGCGGGAATGATCACATAATGCCCCAGATCTGACCAGAAAGGAAATTTGTTTCTAGGAAGTCATACCTTGTGGCTGGATCTAAGGGGACATCCAGATGAAAGAGCCCAGAACAAACAAGCAGTAATGCTCATTCTATCTGTCATTTCATCGACTAGTCAAAGACTGCTTGAGAGGCCTGGGGAACATTTGTTTTCCTCGCCATCTTCTAGATTTTTTGTTTCCACCTAAAATGTTAAGTATTGATTTTCCGTAATAGAAAAGATCCAAATGATCAGGGCTCACAGGTGAATCATGACTGAAATTATGTCTCAAAAGTGAGTATATGTACTTTATATATATAAATTTGATATTCAAATGACTCTTCTCTTTCAGAAAAGTCATGTAGGGAGGCTATGAATTATTCCAGGAATGCATTCATTTTAAAATCAAAAATCATTAAAAATCAAATTCCCTCTTTGCCCCCAAAAATATAGTCTCATTACTTTGTGCTCATATTTGCTTACCTGTGGGAAAGGAAGCTTTTTACTCTGAGATCTCTGGGTGTATTTCTGTGAATTCATTTATATGCCATTAAATTATCTGAATCTTATAGAGCCCCAGAGGTTTCGGGAACTATATATTTTCCTATGGCTTTTCTTCCGTTGTGGGTACACTCACTCCACGTTCCAAAGAGACACATGGGAAATACCACATAGCCTTCATTATAGACCCCCAAGATCTCTCATTAAAATGAATCATTACTCATGCTCTTCATGCCAAGTGAGGCTTGCCAGCTCTGTGTACTCCCTAAGTAAACCAGAACTTGTTTGGACATGTATTTGAATTAACCAGCAAATTCTCTTAGATATGTTCTAAGAAAGCTTTCAAAGTAGACTTTTTCCTTTGGTGTTTTGCCTAGGTTTTCATAGCTATGTCAAGAGCTAAACAATACCTCTCATATCATGTCATAGTATATAAATCCAAGAATTTTTATTGTTATCGAAAAGAGTACCTTTTGCTTCCTACCAGACTATCTCAGAGCCACCGTACCATTGATACAACAGTAGAAGGATCAGGATATGAAATCTTTTGGTAGTGTACCAGGATTGTAACTGGATATTCCAGAACCTCATGCCAAAATGGAAGAAAGCATTCCTCTTATCACGTGCTAATTATAAAACAAATAGATCTCCCCTGCCGTCCTCTGCATGGGAGAGCTGAATCTGTACCTCTGCATCTACTGCCCAAGACTGTCTATGCTTTGCTCTGATTCTCACTTGCTGTCCATTCCCAAATGTCTCCCTCCTCATCTGAACTTGTTCTCCTCCTAGATTTGGATAGCCAAAGTTGAGACATCATATGGGAGCTTTCACTCTAGACTGGAGCCCATTGAGTTGCCACCCTGAGTGGCTTCATTTCCCAACACTGATTTCAGTCCTCCCAAGCCAAGCATCAGAAGTCATCCAAGACACCTTTTTTGGCTTTTTCTCTCCCACCATATTTCTTCCACATACCCAGGGTTGGGGACACAAGCATTTCCCCATCCACTTATGGTGGGCTCTTAACACCTTTTCTGCATACCTCCCCTCCATCATCATTCCCCCACACATTATCTGTACCCTAGTTATGGAGTTTCCCCCTAAAACTGAGAAGACCTGTATTATCTTATGCAGGATACAACACAGAGGTTTCTTTTCTTTCTCTCTTTTTTTTTTTTAAGATTTTATTTATTCATGAGAGACACCGAGAGAGAGGCAGAGACACAGGAAGAGGGAGAAGCAGGCTCTTCACAGGGAACCCAATGCGGGACTTGATCCCCAGACCTGGGATCATGCCCTGAGCAGAAGGCAGATGCTCAACTGCTGAGCCACCCAGGCATCCCTAGATCCTCTTGGTTTCTAATGCAACTGTAATTATCAGGAATTGTAATATACTTGAATTATTTTCAGTTCTGTGCCAAGTGTTTTTCAAATATTATGTTATTTAGCTCCCCAAATAACCCTTTGAGATAGGCATTTGGCCTATTTACAAATAAAGATACTAAAGCTTAGAGAGTATATGACTTGCTCAAGGAAAAGCCAAGTGTTCTTGTTGTTGCCAGATCTGGAATGCAAGCCCTGTGTGTGGCCACAGTCTATATAATTCAATGTGCTCTCCACTGCTTTCTTTTGGGTGAAGAGTACCTCTGTGGGTGAAGAGATGAAGTGTATGTTTAGTTTTTATTTTGTTTTGAAGCAATAACATCAGAAACAGCATGTGTAATAGTTAAGGCCACTTCCTGGGTTAGAATTCTGACCCCTTCATTTAACCTTTCTGAGGCCTAACTTACTTAGATTTAAAATAGAGACAAGGACATCAGAGGGCAGTTGTGAGGATTCAGTTACTGTATGTAGAACCCATAGAACAATGCCTGACACAGTGTAAAAAATTTCCATATTTACTTTTATTGGTAGTAGTAGTAGTAGTGTTAGTATTAGTTTGATTTTTTTTTTTTAGATTTTGAATATATTTATTCATGAGAGACACAGAGAGAGAGGCAGAGACACAGGCAGAGGGAGAAACAGGCTTCCCCACAGGGAGCCCAATGAAGGACTCGATCCCAGGACCCCGGGATCATGCCCTGAACCAAAGGTAGATGCTCAACCACTGAGCCACCCAAACATCCCAGTATGAGTATTTCTATACTTACTATTCTGAGGACAACAAATAGAGCACATAGTGTTTTCTTATCAAAGGTTTGAGAATTTTAGTCACAATGCTGTAAGCCTTTTAACTTTTACTTTTACTCTTTCTAACCCAGTCATACACTCTTCATTTTAAAAACCCAAAATAGCCCTAAAGGATATGAAAATATCATTTTTGTTTGCTTTTTAATTTTAAAAGGACCATCAGGAAATCTTGAAGGGGGACTGAGTAAAACAGAAAGCTTTAAGATCATGGAGTGTTGACTGCTGTCAGCCTCTGGTTGACAAATTCTGTAAGAGAAGCTATCCCTACTCTACCTATGCAGGACTCCTCCTGATGGCCAATCTGTTCTCTGACTGTGGCCCCTCAACACCTCCCATCATTGTCTCCCTGTAGTACTGGTGTTGCTCGCTGCTTTGCTTTTCAATCTAAAGGCGCAGAAAGAGGAAAACCATCCCTGATCTAGAAAATGTATATCCCCAAAGCTTCAGCAGTGGGTGTCCTCTGTCCTGAGAAGGATTTTTCCAGCCTCTGTCTATCTGTCCATTCTCCCCTCCCCTGGTGGCTCTCATTCAGGAGACCCCACCTGAGACCTCAGGACCCATGCATAATAACACAGGCTGACACTAAATGCGAGGTACAGTCAGGAGCAAGGAGGCATTAGGGAAGGGAGAAAGAGAATCGGAAGAGTGTCTTCTTACGGATAAACATTTCTTGTCACTACATTGAGCTTATTTAAATCAGAAGAGAGATTTCTGTTTTCTCTGGGCCCTAATGATTTTTGATAAATTTTGTATTCCAAATCTCCTTACCCCAAATGTGTCCATTGTGCCCTAATGATTTTTGATAAATTTTGTATTCCAAATCTCCTTACCCCAAATGTGTCCATTGTGCAACTTCTCAAAACAGAAAATAAGACAAAGTAAAATCAAGATGAAGTGGGATCTTTCTCTTATGATATAGTCTTAAACTACCCTAAATCAGAGTTCTGTCTCCACCAAACTTGATTCTACCTCGGCTATGCGATTGCAGATTATTTTTGTTTTCTTACTGAAACTTTTCTTTATTTCCTCAAGTTTGTGCTGGAAACAGAAGTTGTTTCATAAAATAGAGGGGAAAAAATTCTTAAAAATAAGATTGTACTCAAATTTAAGAGTCTTGGAAAGAATTTTTAGCCATGAGCTAGAGTAAAATTTTTAGAATAAAATTTACATCCTCTTCACTAAAAAAAAAAAGTGAAATTTTAGACCACATGTAGTCCCCCTACTTAATTGGATGCTTCTTCACCAGTTAAGGAAGACTGGCCAACAGGTAGTTGTTTTCTGACCAGCAGATGACATTCTCCTCTGTTCAACTTGAACCTTTCACTC